TGCATAAGCCAACAAATGGCTTGAGGGGGGTGGGAATTAGGTGATTTTTAAGGTTCCTTTAACTCAAATCATTCTATGATTCTGTGAACCTCCAGTCAGATTTAAGCTCATAGTCTTAAAAAAAATGGCAGAATCAATTGTGGACTTAAAAGTTGTTTTAAGGGCTTAGCTCAATCAAACAGTAACTGGTCAGGGTACCTGAAGAAGTGTTCAGATAAGCAGCTTTTCTGAAAGTAGCCATAGAATATATATGGTTTGATGCAGGTAGTGCTTAGGTCTTTCTGTCTATTTTAATTCTTAGAATATTGCTGGGATCCTCACCCCCACACCTTTACACATATTTTACCATCAGCATCCAAAATGGCTGATGTCAGTGTTAGCAAATAGTTGCTTTTTAGCCTGGAGATGACATATTTTACCTTAATCCGCGTCTTTTAAGCTGCAGCCAGGATTTAATTCAGATGGAATWAATCCTAATAATTGAGAAGGATAAAATTTCCAAAGCAAAGGAAGTCAAGTCAGTGGGAATTGCTTAAGAGCTATCAGATTTGGGTCTGATAATCACTCCTGACTTTGAAACTCTCCATGCATACGGTGCCACTAAATGTAGCCAGTGCCTTCCTTTTTTAGGAATTTGTTCAGTAAGCAAATCTCAGCTATTTCCTAATAAGATTTTATTATGGTTTTAGAAACCCAAGAGCTGATGAGGCCTAAGAAGTCTTGAGGAATGGCTTGTGACTGTTCCCTCCTCTACAAATACCCAATAATTCCAAATTTRCAGTTATCACAGGAGAAAAGCTGCAGTGACTGAAATGAGGCAAATTACTTCATTGTATGAAAGTTTGTGTCAGAGGCAGCACAAGAAGTTGTAAAATGTAAATCTCGTGCTCTCAAATTTCCCCATGTTTTCACAGAACTGCATCTGTGACTGTGCAGCGCTACAAAAATTTCCTGTGAATGTGCTAATAGGCCTTATGAGAATGTTCTATCACCATCCATCTGTCACTTTTTAACAGGCCTGATTGGCAAGCACTTGTAACAACTGACATCTGTTCTCGCTTATTGATATGTAGATTTATGGTAATTGCTGTGAACAATAAGACACAAAATTACCTAAGGTGAACATTAAATTAAATTTTCATGCCCCTATCCTTATAAATAATTTTTTAAAAAATCTTAAGTTTCAAGCAAGGCATACTGTGCATCTGTTTTGTACATAATTTAATTGTTTTTTTAATCTGCCAAATAACAAAATGAAAGTTGAATTTCCTTGCGATCTTGAGTATTTGCCAAGCTGATAGCACATTGGTAAATACATRTTATTAAAAATGGAATCAAACTGTATTGTGATTGTGGGGTTTTTAATCATTTCCCTTTAATTCCCAACATTGTCTCCATCATGAAGATCAAGAGTTATTCCTTACCCAGAAGGGTTTTTTTTCCTCTGCAGGAGGATTTTCATTTTTCATGTGCAGCTCTGCCTATGAGGCTGTTCCTCAGCGTTAAGCAATTTGCATTTCTTCAGAGAGAGGTGCATTTGCTGAGTGAGCAGCACTYTCAAATAAAATCCATCTACTCATTTGCTGTCCAGCTCTGTTGCGGGATTTGGGACTGTCTTGAAAAAAACTGTAGGATGTGAAATGTGTGAAGAGAGTGTGTGAAAGGGGAGAGAATGAGAGAGCAGATTCATCCCACAGAACTGTACCTCAGCTGAGGTTCAATTGAACCAAAGATCCCCATTTGAAAGCAAAGTACTTTTGTGGTCTGGGACTTCAGAGCATTTGGTTTCCCTCCTCCAAGTTTGTCCAAGCAAGTGGAATGTTGACACTCCTGACAAGTTGATGGGAGAAACCAATAAAGAGGGAGCAGAGATGGTAAAATGCCTGGGGAATGTGAAACAGTGATGACAGGACTTATTTTTCAGAAGTTTGAGCAGACAGAGGAGCCTAAAGAGGATACATATTAAGTGATAAAACTGTTGACAAAACGGGCTCTAGAGCATGCTGGGTGACAGTGTGTGCTGTGAGCCCTTGGTGACAGCCACATTTGGGTGCTCAGTTCAGTGGGGGTCTTTGCTGTCCTTCTCTTGGTCAAGTGTGACAACAGCCAGCAGGTTTTTTTCCTGCAGACACCCGAGCTGACACCGTGTAACATCTGCAGAGCTGGTTTGTGGCCAGTGTCTTACAGTGACCTCTAGTAAAATAAAATGGGTGGGGAAACAACTTCATCACCACCAAGTTCTTGTTCGTTCATCTTCTTTGGGCATCGAAACTCATTTGTCAAATTGATGGGTTCTCCCTGTGTTTATCATGTCCCACTATGTTAAAAAAAAAATAAAAAATTGTGGGATGAGGCAATGATGATATTTGTTTTGCACAGTGCAGAGGGTGATTCCTGAGTGCAGAGAGAGCAGTTGTTAGTTCTGTTGACCTTGTCTGGCCCAGGCTGTCCTCTAGAACCATTCTGTATTAATTGCAATATTTTAATTTTACTATGTGTGCCATTTAAAAGTTCAAAGAAAACTCCATAAAGGAGAAATGTAAGCTGGTTATGACTGATCCTTCTGATGAATAACTCAGCAATGGGTGGTAGAAAGCCATTCCTCTGCAGGAGAGCAACCCACTGCTTTCCTAAATCCTTGTTAGAATACCACAAAATACAGCTTCAGTGAAGACAAGTRACATTTGCTGGATATTATTTGCTGAATTACTTATGCTCCTTATGAAACAGGAAGGTAAATTATAATTGAGGACCAATATCAGTCCAGGATGAAAATTAATTCTGTATCTCATTTTGAGAACTATTGACTGCTTTTTTAGCAAATAAGTGGCCCCAGCTTAAGTCTTCTCCATCCCCGAAATCTTGTTTGAAATAGTCTGCAGTCTTACTATCCAAGTAGGATAATTCTTTGGTGGGGAAAAAATACTTATACACAAGGCAAGCCAATAAGTCAGATAACTAATTTAAAAAAATATAACAATGTTGGATGCATGCCTGAATTTCTGTCTGAACTGTGTCTTGCAAAATAGTTTGGATTGGTAGTGTTTCAGAAAAGCCTTATCTTTTACGATGGTCTTTAGGCTCTAAAAGAAACCTTAAGGAGSTTTCTTGGTCACCTAATTTCTCCAAGTGTCTTGTTCCAGTTCTGGACTATGAGTTGGTGTGTCTTGGATCAACTACAATCTTAACTCCCACCATTATAATTGCGTGGACATTTTCAAAAACACCAACACCTGAGCTGAATTTGGGCATTGACTGAGACACTGGTTAGAACCTCAGTCAAATTAGGTGCTCACCTAAGGCCTGACCTGCCTGGAAGGTGCTGTATTTAAATTTGGGGCTTCATTCACAAATAGATGCTTTAATTGAGGTTCATTTCACAATGCCTAATGCTGTCACAGTAAGAATTCCTCTTTATGGAGATGGTTGGTTGTACTAACCTGAGTCTGTGATACGTGTGTTTGAAAACAATATCAATCCATTACTGCAGGAGTTCCAAATTCCTAGAAAATACCTCTCCCTCACTGCATTTTTTTTTCTTCTCAAATATACTTAATAAGTATCATATTTAAACTTCTTTTTTCCATTTTCCCCAAGTTGTTGTTAAGCTCCCCTGTTTGAGATATGAAGTGTGTAGGGAGAACTAATATCTCTTGTAGGCAAACTAACATCCAGAAAAAATCAGACAAGTTTCCAGGCATTCAAGCTCTTCTTCTTTGAGTGCTCCCCAACACTCATTCAATCTTCCCAGCTCTCTCACTGGGTCTAGAAAAGGTGTTGCTTTTCCTACCAGCCTTTTGTGAGTGCACTTGTCTTATCAGGACAAGAACATAATGAAACTCTTTTAGTGTGTTGGGGTTTTGCACTTTGTCAGCTCCATTAAGGGCTCAAGCCCTCACAGAGCTCCTTCRTATGTCCAACGCCAAGGATGATCTCTCACTGCCATCCAAACCATCTCTGTCMCATCCTTGTGTAAATGTCCAGTCTGAACATCGCTCCTGGGGATAGCTGATCTTACTCAGAGGATCCTGAGAAGGATCCAGTCTGGTTAATGCTAGCACCCATCTTACATGTGCATTTTAGCTCTTACTGAAGTATTTCACCTTAGAGTCAGTGCTTTGTCTAGTCCAAGGTAAAAGATATATTCTTTTGAATTCCTCTGGACAGACCAACTCCTGTGCCTCTGATTTGAGTAAATGTATGCCATTGGCTGTTCCTTAATCATCTTTTTTTTTCCCCATTTCTCTTTACTGTTTGTCCTTTTTTGTTTGCCATCTAAATTAAACCTTTGCTATTCAAATGCCTCCATTTCTTGAAGGTTCTCAGTAAAAGGAAGGTGTATCTTCCCCCACATCTTTTAAAATAATGAAGCAACAGATGACTCAGTTGACTTGATATCATAGTGCAGAGCTTAGAGCCTGAAAATCCCTGTCTCAGTGATGGCTCTGTGGTCAGGCTGATACTAATTTGATGTACTTAGTTCATATATGTTTTTAGAAATGAGCTATCAGAAGGAAATTGAGCACAATATTGGCTACTACACAGCGTAACCTTAGTAGTTGTATTCAGAGTAGACATGGGAAACAAATTTTATTCATCCCAATTATATGACCCTGTCCTGAATGTGTTTTAAATGCTAGTTATCTACTTTACATCCCCCATTGTGTCAGGAAATAATATTGTGCTTGGGCTTCATGCAGAGTTTAAATGACTTTTAATTCTACACTTCTTTGAAGAGGCACAAACCAGGTTTAATTTTCCTGAAGTATAGGCTGGTGTCTTTGGTGCAGTGTCTCAACTCCAAGGCAGAGAGGTGAGAGATGCTGTTCAGGAGCTGTAAGGGGTGGTTCCAGGTTATTGATGTCTTGGGAGTGAAAAGGGTCAAGTTAATTGGCAAGATACAGCCCAAGCCCCATGACTATTGACAGCAGCACTTTTTGGTGATTATGATGATGATGATGATTACCTGTTTTAATTAATCCTGTTTCTTCTCCACGTAGGCATGAACGCTTTACAATTACAGAATTTGGCAACTTTAGCAGCCGCAGCAGCCGCCGCCCAGACCTCAGCTACCACCACCAATGCAAACCCTCTGTCCACAACGACTGGTGCTCTGGGAGCCCTCACAAGTCCCGGTAAGAGCAGAGTGCTGCCAGCACACAGACATGGCACTCCCGGGGAAGATGGTAGTTAAAATGCTGATTCCATGGCATGTATGAGCTCTGTGCTCATGTAAATTCTGAAGAACCTTTAAAAGGTGAAAACACTTTTATTTTTGCTGTTATTTTTAAGCAAATAACTGTTTTTTTCAAGTGCTCCAATGTGGACGTGTTCACCTTTCCAGATTCATTTCAGGGGCCATTAAAGCCTAACAGATCCATCTTACAAAACTCTGCCTAAAAATTACAATTGCATGGGAAACTTAAAATTAAATTAACTTTTCAGAAAAAAATCCGAATATGACCAAAATCTTCCCATCCAAAGGAAAATCAGCTGAGGTGGTTCTTTTTAATTCCCAAGACACTGAACTTTGATTCCCAGCAAGTGCACRTATTGCCTTTATCCATCATGAATTTTTAAGTCCTTTTTTTTTCCCTTCTCTTGCTGTATCTCAATTGAGCTTTCTTCTGGGGCTGGATTTGCAGTTATAGAAGTGATATCAGATGCACGAGGAATACACAGCCAGATTCTGAATTCATTACACTGAGCAGAAGCCAAACTTATGGGGGAAAAGRGACAGGATAAGAGGTGGAGATGCCTCCAAGACCACCATGTGGCCTTCCAGCCATGCTTGTCTGATGTCTGCAAAACCCTGGAGAAAACTTTGGGCAAATTCAGGCTTAGTAAACACTTCAGGATCTCCAGAATCCACAGAGAGAGATGTTGATTCAGCATAGTTACTCTGGATTTACAGTGATGTAGCTGAGTAGAGAATCCGGACACTTATTGTTACATAAAGGCTGCAGGGTGTAATTATTTGCCTCATGAAGTGTGTTTATTGCTGTTCTAAAAAACATTCATATTATTTTAGACACCACTAAAAAACATTAGTGTTTAATCTTGTTTCAGTGTGTATTTATCCCCCATGAAAAAGAAATTCATGGCAGCTCATCAATAAGGAAAACAGTCTTCATTGCACAATAGAGCTGGGAGTGAGTGTGGTGCTGGGTGTTGGTTCTGGCCAGGGCTCCCATTATATAAAATTTTATTGTTTGTTTGGGACAGAGGTTAAATGGAAAGAAGCTTGGCCAATACTAAGTTTGAGCAGAATTTTCCTGKTTTTGGCCTGAGCCTCATCTAGACTTAAAAATAATATTCATTAGCAGCATCTCTGCAAAACAGGTTGGCTGAAAAGAATTTTGACATGCTGACATATTTCTTTTAAACCTGAGAAGTCTCTCCCCTCCGTCCTGGAGCTGGGACTTAATGCTTTGCAAAGGCCAGCCCTAGAGTCAGTATTTCCAATGTTACTCCTGTCTAAATGCAATCCATTTATAGGCACAGAAATGTTGCATTTCATGGGTGCTCTGTGATATTTCTGCAGTTTGGGTGATAAATGTCTGAGCAGTACTGTCCTCCCAAGACACACAACAAATCTTGGTCCATACTGGTAAGACTTCCCAGGGCAACTCAGTGCACTGCACCGTGGTGCAGAGGGGCTGGAATTAACTCACTGTTTCCTTGCTGCTGTACAGTAAAGTGGCACCTGAACGTTCCTGTTGTGCACTTTGTTTTGCCGTGTCCACACAGAACTTGGATTCAGCCTCAAGGCCCATATTTCTCTCTTTTCCTCTCCACCACAGTCATCTTATCCAGCCTGTCTGACTTGCTGTTCCCTTTTAACCTGATCTTGAGGCTCCTTGAATACCTGGAAGGTGGTTTTATCTCATGTCCAGTTCTGCAGAAGCCTGTGTGGATGGGTGTTTCCACTTGGCTGGGCAGATATGTCTTTGGGGTAAMCTGAACTTCTATTGCTCAGGGTGGTATTGTAGGGTTTTTCCAAAGAGATTGATGATTTTGGCTACCACACTGAAATTGTGTTATTTTCAAAAAATTCTAGACATTGAACCTGTCAAATAGTGCATTCAGAATGCCAGTTGCCTGTGGAAGTCTCATAGATGGAACCTATACACAGATGTTTCTGGTATTATGTTTCTATGTTTCTATATTGAAAAATCACTAATAGGCCCACTGACCTATTTATGTTGCACAACCAACCTAAAATCGAGCCTTGTTAAAATGTTCTTCAGTTTAACCTTCCTTATCTGGTTCCACATTCTCCACCCTATTACATATTTTGTGAACCTGAATAACATCTTCAATGATGCTTCTCCGCTCCATGGAAAATGAATTTAGTTTGATAAAGCTTCTCATAGTAGCTCAAAGTGTTTCCAATAAAACTTGAAATACATTGGCAGAAAACATTTAAATCTGCCTTTCAGTCTGTGGATGTTTGGAGGCCTTAAGGGTATTTTTTTGGTCTASTTTTCCTTTAATGGAACACTTCAGTTTGTTGTGTTTCATAAGTGTAAATTATTTTGTCTGATTTCAAAGCCTGCGCTAGGCCCAGGAAGAAATGTTTGTTTCTCTCCAGATAATGCATTAAATTAATATTTCTCAGTTGAGAAAACAGCCCAAATTTGGGSCAGTGCAAAGGTAAATGCTTGAATTTAATCCTTTCCTTGATGTTGTTACAGGCAAAATACTGCACAGAATGGAGATGGGCTTAAGTGTGTGCTTCTAGGATGCCTTAAACCATGGCAGCCAGATAAATCATATCCATGTTTCTACCCAGATATAACTTATATCTTCCCTGAAGATCTCCCCTGAATCAATCTTTGACCAAGGGCTCTTATTCTTTCCTTTGCAAACATGTGTCGTAAGATCCCCAAAAGATGCTTGTTTCAGTTAAAATTCATTTTAAAGCTTAATTTTACATAGGTAAGATTTAGCAGCCACGAGTGCACCACACTAGTACAGAGAGGAGAGTGCTCAGGCCAACTTCAGTACATTGACAATGCAGAAAAACAGGCCAGGAAGTGAGGAGCCAGCACTTCAAATCTGATATTTGAGGTTTTCCAAACAAATTAAACTCCAATGATCTTTCCCTCATACATTCTGACTAAATAGCTTTGACCTCAAGAGAGTCTAAGGACACGCGTTCTTTTMCATGTGCTAAATACTTTCTCTTAAGCTTGAAAGAGTATTCATTCAGAAAGAACAGAGACAATACAATCCCCCAAACTATTAATTTTTTTATAATTGTAAATTTATAATTTCAATTTTGCATACCCATGGAAGTGTCTCCCTACAGCATTGTTAGAAATGATTTTTTAAAAGCCTTTGCTTAAAAAAACATGAAAGATTAAGCTTTCATTTTAGTAAAAATCCCCTCAGGCAATAAATAGGTTCTTTTGTCTCTTGGTCCTGGAAAAAATTTTAAATGGTTTAAATTGCCTATGGTTAAAGTAACTGTTTCTCGCAATTATCAGATGGTAGTGAATAAAAATTAAAATGAAATCATGAAAGACTAAAAACCAGGTAAATGCATATTATGTCTTTCATGAGTTTCTCATGGGTCTTTTGAAGACTCATTTAATCATCTTTCTTGTCTTTTATTTTGATATGATAATTGTTTCCTTTATTTACTTTACTCACTTCTATTTAGTTAATTAATTCTTCACTTTATTTTCATTTCCCTTGCTTAGGACACTTTCTGTTTTAAAGACAGGAACCAGTAGTATTTCATACYTTTTTTAAAGGCAAGGACCTGTAATATTTCATAACACAAGGATTTGGGCTGGGGTAGCTAACTCCAGGTTTCTTATCCAGTTTGTCTCAATTCTCCTTGTGTGGGGACCTGGAAGTTTGCATTTCTTGTTAACTGGGAATGGATTTTGGAGGGACTACCTCAGCTGTAGGTATCCACATGGTAAATTTCCCAATTTGAGCAGGATGAATCCCAGCTGAGTGCTAGGAACYTTATTCTCTGCTCCAGACACTGTCCTTGGTACATCCTGCAAGCAGGGAGGCTGCTCTTCCAGAGCCTGCAGAGATGTGGGATTCATTCAGTGGGACGTGGATGTGAAGGAGGGACATACAAGCTCAGGATCAGTCTCCCACAATGCCTGACATTTMATTTCCCTCAGCTGACCCACTACTCTAATTTTCCCAAGGGTRATAACACATGTTCTGACTGTCCTGGGAGGTGCAAGTCTGATGTAGCACTGTAAAATGTGACTACTCAGAGCAGGTTGGTGTAAGCCATGGCCAGTCAAGGTGTGAATATCTCTCAGGATGGAGATTCTACAGCCTCTGTGAGCTCATCTCAATTTTGCTTCTTCAGATTCACACACAAATGCTTTTTCAGTAGCCAGTAGGAAAGCCCTGCTATGTGCAAATGAAGAGACGAAACATCTAATTAGATATCCAAATTTATCTGCATGAACGTACACAACGTAATTTCTGAGCTGTGGGGGGATAGAATTGCTATACCAGAAGTTAATTCAGTTTCAGACTTAGGAGCTTTCACTTTCCATGACATTTTCACGATTATTTGATACTCTAAACTATTATTTATTTGCACAGCTGAACTAGCTATTCATGCTTCAGTAAAAAACTCTTTGAGTTTATCTGTTGTGTAAACCTAAGAGGAAATACTTGCAAAAAAATTACTGATAGGGTAAAAAGGAAGACTTTTTCCTTTAATGACCTCTTAAATTCCAGAGCAGCTTTTGTCATATTATATCAGTATTCAGCCATTAATTCTTACGTTGAAAAAAGAAAGTTCTCCAAAGGTCTAAAAATATCATTTTCAGACAGATGCTGACATTGAAGAATAACAGTCCCCAAAAAAGGAAGACTGTGAGGTATAGAATAAACTGAAAAGGAAAGAAAAATTACACTGCCTTTCCTGTAAGAATTAATTCATCCTTTCCCTCTGCTCAAAACAGAGAATTGTAACTTATAGCTGTCATCCATGGCTCATTATTTTCTCTACCCCCTAATGAAGATTGTCTTTTTTTTCCTTTGTTAGTTAAAGGTGTTCATGTTGTGAACACAATTGTTGAAATGGTAGTCATTTTATAGAATATATGAGATGCTTCAGCTGAGAAGCAGTGAGGAATGTTCAAAT